GCAGGAATGTCACAGCCTGGGCCAGGACTTGCTCCAGCCTCTCCTGCTCCCCAGCGCTGAACGGAGCCAGGACGTAGCTGGACACAGTCACGTCACCCTCTGGGCGTCCAATGCCAACCCTGAGCCGAGTCATCTCCTGGGGAGGGAGGAGAGCAGGAGGAGCTTCACTGTAAGTGCTGAGAAAGAGCAGGGGCAAGGGGACAGTGCTGCGAGTGGGGCTGGGCAGCAAGGGAGCAGCCCCATGTGCTTTCCAGGTGGTTTTGAGTGCTTGCTCCAAGAAACATGATTTTGGAAGAGGCTTTTGCTGGGCTGTGCTGAGATCCCAGACTCCTGCCAGGCCTGGCAGAGCCGCTTGAGCTAATTGTTTCCATGTCCTCCATCGAAGCCAAACTGACATCAGCCCTCCGGGAAGGAGGGAGAGGAAAGGGAGCAGAGGTTTGTCTGAGGGGCGTGAGAAGGATGGGAGTGGGGGAACAAGCGATGCATTGAGGCATAGGCAAGACTGATCCCTTTCCACTGATGTCCACTCACGTTGGAGTGTAAAGCACCGATGCAGGATTGAACGCCGTTGTGTCCCCTTGGGAGAGAAGGAGAGAACCCACTGTTAGTCTGTAAGAGATACCACCCCCACCACGGGGGTCTCATGCTGCAGGGACTTGGGGTCCCAGCTGGGGGCTGCAGTCCTTGCATGCTCACTCTGCAGGAACATCCAGCCCCTGGGGCTGAGAGCAGCTGGTTCGGGGAACACGAGGGAAGCAGGGCTGGGACAGCACGTTCTGTGCATCTCGGCTCTCGTTGGTGCACGTGCAACTGAGCACTGGGGCCCAGTACCATCCCTGCCCTGTCCCACAGCAATTTCCTAGGTTAAATGTCTGGAAGCAGATGCAGGAGCTGGTGCTGGGGCAGGCAGAGCACTATAAAAAGCCCATGTGGTGCAGCTGATGGGCTGGATCCAACCCACAACTGCTTCCAAGAGCCTCCCTGCCCTTCCTGCCAGGGCAGGATTTGGGAGGCTGCCTGAACAGCCAGCAACAGGGATCAAGCCCAGGGCTGCGGCTGAAAACAGCACCAGGATGGGGCCAGAACAGCCTGTGTGTGCCTGTAGGAGCATGGCAAGGCCTCAAACCAGCTCCTGCAACCACAGAGCTGGGGCCACCCCTTACCTTGCGCTGCCTCCCAGCTTGATCGCCACCTTGCCCAGTGCCTTGTCCAGGTCGTCATGAACCAGGTAAATGTCTTCTGGGCGAAAGTTGTAGATCTCAGCTTTGGAAACAGAAACACAACCCAAGGAACAATTTGGATACAGACTCACCAGGCCCTGGCCCCGTGCTGGGCAGGAGGACAGCCCGGTGGCACAGGGCCCGGTGGCACAGGAGGCTTTTGGGGGTGACACAGCTGCTCACCGGCGCTGGCGATGCTGAGCCCGTTGAGGTTCATGAGCCTCCGCGGCTTGACCAGCACCAGCTCCGCGCCGTGGGCTGCGG